GAGCTATAGTTTATACACAGTTTTCTGGAGTTTATTATGTATTTGAATATCAGTAAAATGAATACTTTAGAGCTATAGTTTATACACAGTTTTCTGGAGTTTATTATGTATTTGAATATCAGTAAAATGAATACTTTAGAGCTATAGTTTACACACAGTTTTCTGGAGTTTATTATGTATTTGAATATCAGTAAAATGAATACTTTAGAGCTATAGTTCTTAGTGAACATGCCAATGTGACCATGTGGAAAACGAATCCAGGGTCACTTGAAACTGTGACCAGAAGTCGCTACATTCGCTCAATGTAGCCATAATTCATCTCAACGATAACCTGCAACATTGGGATGACGTGTTAGACAGTTAAACTACCATCAATATTGTTTCAGGAACATTTTCAGGGAATTACAATAAAGGGCTGATAAATGCATATTTAAATTTTTTAGTCTTCATATAATATTCTAATGTGTTTATATAAAGTTATTTCTTGACACTTTTAAACCACAGATGGCGGTGTGGTATAGAAAGTACTCAACTTTACAGATGGTCCAAGCAAAATTCAAGCAAAACAAAAAACAAAATCATTACTTGTTAAATGTCCCCCCCCCCCCAAATACATAATATGGGGAGTATGTTTCTTCTACGGCTATTTTTACAATGCGCTTATCACATAGTGAGATAATCGAATTTGATGAATGATACAGATATATTCCATCTAATAAGCAGAAATAACTAACCGAACATGTATATATATGTACATAGGCAATTAATCTATAAAATATCTATATACGTATGTAATATGCAGCATATCGTGTACGCATGTATCTATTTACGTTATATTTCTAAGCATGCGTATGAGTGTATACCTTTACTAACTTTTGTAATGAACTCAATTGAATGTTCTGCCATAATTATGAAGGCGCGCTGAAAAACGATAATTCAAAACATGGTCCTCAATCGGATGTTCTCAGAACTGACGGTAAGGGTTTTCTTAATGTTACCGTATTAATGAGATCAGCTGTGATAAATTGGAACTACATCCTGAGTTCTTCATATAAACAGGACTGTGTGTGTATTTTATTAATTGTGGATGTAAATCACACTTCAGATTTGTTCTCGTCTTGACAGTGTTATTTTAATTACGACGCTGTTCCAATTTACCACCTTTTGCAAAACCTTTATTGATATCATGCACATATATTTATCAAACTCCATTAACTAGTCATGTGTATCTTTATCTAAAATAGTACGGGATCAAGAAGAAAGAAGAAAAAGAAGCAGAAATGAACCAAGCCATTGCAGCCAGCAGCCTCAACAGAAGAAAGAAGACCCCGGCAGAACTTGCTGCAGAGCAGGAAGCCGAGGAACAGGACGATTTCACTAGTGAGTTATGAAACGTTATGTATCATACCGAGTATCTAGTTATAAAGAAACAAGCATATTTTTCTGGTAAGTAATGAAACTTGGTGTAGTGCACTGAATACTTTGTCATAAGGGAGCAAGATGATTTTAACTTGTAAATCGTGAAAGTTGGTGTGATGTACTGAATGTCTAGTCACAGAGAAACAAGAATTATTTCGTTAGTAAATTATAAAACTTAATCTATTGTGCTGAATATATAGTCTTATAGAAACGAAATGGTTTTATTAGTAAGTCATCATAAAACCTGATGTATTGTACTGAATATATAGTTACAAGGAAATAAGATTATTCGACTAGTAACTAAAGTAAATGGGTATATTGTGCTAAACATCTCGTCATAAAAATACAAACCCCTTGGTGGCTCAGCGGCATTTTTAAGGGTAATAACATAAAGAACCAAGATGTTTTCACTAGTAAGTCATGAAATCTGCTGTATATTACTGAATAACTAGTCACAAAAAAATAAGTTGAAGTCACTAGTATGTCATAAATCTTGGTGTATTGTATTGAATATGTATCCAAAAAAAGGTTAGTGATGTGCCTTAGATTTAGCTGTATTCTTAACAGTCGTTCGTAAAAGAACAGTTCTACCAAAATGTAATTTTTATGGCCACAATTTAAACTAAATCGCTCAAAAGAACTGTGCTTTCGACTTCATTCAAATGGTATTTTTTTCAAAATCCATTTGAGTAAATTTGACCAAGTGATAATGATAAATCCACCTTCCCTCATAAAAAAAATAAAATTAATTTGACCTTTAACTACTCTTCATGCTCCTCAACTAGAAAAGAAAACATTCTAAAGGAATTTAAATAGACTCATAATATATATATAATGTAGGATGAGACAAAAAATCTGCCTTAGTCCTTGAACAGTGTAGAAAATCATCTTTAGGTAGATTACGTTTTCATAAATTTGTCCAACACCTAAAATGTCATTGGTGATTGAGAATGAAAATCTATTGACACTAAGACGTTTGGAGAATTTCGAATCTTCATTTTTTGTAAATACTATTATTGTTCGTCAATCTCATAATAATAGTTTGAACATCCAGTTACAAGTAAACCTTGTCAAATGTTTAAATACCAAGAAAATCATCAGTACCAACCATTGCAGTGGCATCTTCTATAAAGAAGCCTCACATATAAACCAGTAGTAAATGAATCCATCTTGACATGAATTTCTTCAGAGAACTTCAGGACTTCTTTATCTGTATAAGTACCGTTGACGTTCCAGAATCTGATTATAATATACTGGAAATTCAATTAGTGATCAAACTTCAAGTTTCTAACTTTTAAAACAGGCTTACATTTTGTGGACTTCTTGTCAAAGAATGCATGTCACGTCTGCAAGATGTAGACATTTCAGAGTAGAAATTCCTCCCCAGGAGACAACGAAACATAAAAACTTTTAACAATTTTTCAACTCTTCGACTCTTATTGTGTTCTGTGTTTTGTTCATATTTAACAGACCCGTTGGGAAAAGTAACGTTATTTTTTAAAAGTTAGATTAATCTGAGAAAGTTACTCTTTTATTAATGGTTGTTTTAAATGTGTCTTGCATTTATGAACCCTGTTGTTATATATGAAACTAGAGGAACATAGTCCTTGATTACTCATTTCCACAAAAATAGTCTTACATAGTTAAATATCTGAAACTTAATTCAGTGAATTTATAACCTTGAAATATATTATGAACGGATCAAAAAGCGTTAAAACCGTTTTTAATGACCCATGACTCTATCTATATTCCTACTTTTTAACACTTTTATTAGTCTCTGCGGCTAATCTCATAAACCATCAAACCATGTCTTAACCTATTTTAACCAATTTCGTGATACCCTGTAACCAATCTTATCGACCACCGTATCTAGTATTAGAAACCATTGATTTTAAACGTAGGAGAGGTAACCTCTAAAGTGAGCGATCACCATGTAAGGAGTACTAATGGAATTAAACCAATGAATAAAAATAAAATACCGAACTGGTAAAAAGAAAATAGCTAAACTGTCAATATTGCTAGCCTCTGTGATTGGTTCGCTCAAAGTCACTTGTCAGTTATGATTGGAGGTGCTTAGTTTTTCGTTTCAGAGGCAGCATGTTTGCATTACGTGAGATTCATTTCGTTTCTGACGATTCATATATGAAAATTAGCTTTAATAATGGTTTGGTTCATAATAAACAAAGACTAGTATATCAGTGTTGTTAAGCCTACAGACGTGGGATACTCAGAAGGAGGAGGATCAATTTAGGGTCACTACAGTCAAATATAATAAGGTCTACTGTTTGAAACCAGCGTAAAGAACCTTATAAACCTTAGTAAACAATCTTTTCCAACCATTGTAATCAGTTTTGTAAAATGCTGTAACCAATATTATACACCATTCGAAGTAGATGTGATAAGCCGTTACAACTTATTGTAACTGATCACATTAACTATTGAATCCAATCTCATAAACCATTATAACCTATCATACAAATAAATATAAGTAATCATGTGCCTCCCATCGGTGACTCATTGATAAGTCTGAGAACTTATGACAATAAAAATCGAATTTCGATACCCGCATTTGGCAGAATACAGATAGCTCTGTGATTAATAACAAACAAAAGAATTGTGTTAACGGATTTCATTAAACAATCAAACTCAATTACATATTTAGGTCACTAATCCGCAAACAGGCTCTGTTTAGTAACTTACCAAAACTTTTTAAAAGGTGAAAATTTGAATAGGAAGGATGTTACATGAATAGGATTTGGAATGCCTGAACCGTAACGTCAGGCTGTGTTAAGAAAAATATGTTCCACCTTTGATATGCATTTTTCATATCTGTTGGAGTAAATTGACTTATATATCTTGTATACCAAAAGTAGTTCTTGAATAATTGGTCAGGTGGTTAGAGCGCTTGACTCCCACTCTGAGGATCAACTGTTCGAATCCCCGTCCTACCAAACATGCTCGCCCTTTCAGCCGTGGGAACGTTATAGTTGGTAAAAGAGTAGCCCAAGAGTTGTCGGTTGGTGGTGATGACTACCTGCCTTCCCTATAGTATTTCACTGCTAAATTAGGGACGGATAGCGCAGATATCCCTCGTGTAGCTTTGTGCAAATTCAAAACCAACCAATCTTGAATAATCATCGTTTTCAATATATGTTATTGTGTATATGATGTTCACTATATCTGAATGTCGAAAATCTAGTTTTCTTTATGTTCCTAAAATGTGTTTTGCTTATGTTTTTAGTTCGATAAAAAACGACCCTCAGCAGAATAACAGTAAATTATCCGTTAGCACTCTGTGGTTCTAAGAGCAGAATTAGATTTCTTTCTAGATTCTTTCCACACCCAGGTGAAGAGTTCAAACTGACCAAAAGCATGTTTGTAGTTTGGTTATTGTATAACATTTATTGAAAGTTGTCTATAATTTTCAGCAAACGTTTGTAACAAGATTTCTTTATCTTTCAGAACTGAAGAATACGTTGGAAACGCAAGTAAATGAACTGAAGACCACCATTGAAGGAAAATGTGTGCTACAATGAGGGCGCCACTGTGCTATGCAATGTCCGACTGTTCTGTTGATGCCTGTAGTGTTGCATGCAAATCAACCACCATAGCTCCTGCCTTCACACAATCTTTGGTTGAATACAGCCTTCTGGTGCTTGGGGAGAAACAGCTACTGAAACCGTTCAATACCGCAGTTCCCCTCACAGAATATCAATTTCGTCAGCAGTATTCTGTTAATTGAATTTTTTGTATTTTCTGTTATCCATTACGCTAAATTAAACGCATCGGGAGAATACAAACGTTTACTTAATTTGTTATAAGGCCCAGAAAATTTAGGCTTAAGCACAGAGAAAAATTTGATTTGATCTGTTTTATCGAATGTAAGCAATCAATGTATTTCAATTTCGATTTTATTTTTACAAACTGTGTAGAATTTTAGTAGGTTGTAAAACTTTTTTTATGTATATTTGTTTTATCAACTTAAGATTCTTTTGAGTGTGCAAATGACTTATATTACAATATTTCATTTCCTTTTATCTAACAAAAACAAACATCAAGTAAATAATTTAAATAATATCTTAAGTCTACGATTTTCTGGTAATTTGTAATAAAGGTATCAGCCGCTAGCTCCCTCAAGCTCCATCTGGCGGACATATTGATCAGCAAGCCTTCTCCGAGTGAGGGTTACCCAAACAACGAATTTTTCTAGTGTTAATTCAAGAACTGTGAGCACTTTCTTCATGTGACTGTAAAGAAACAAGTGCCACTCTTACTAAACAGCGGACTTTTCAGGAATTATTATAGAGCTCTCCCGCAGTCTGATGCTAAGTTCAAGAAACTAATGGGGTAGAATGATATAGTCATGTAAAATCAGCCATTCTAAAATGATGAAAGGGAAACTTTTTCATATTTCTTATATTCAATTTGTTTTGCTTTTCTACAATTTGAGTGCTTTCTCTATAAATTTTTCTAACATTTTTCAGCTAAAGGAAACTATTGTTGTAATCATAGGAAGATGAAATGTGACCATTCATTTATTTTTCTTATGTAAACACGCTACATCACGTTTTGTTTTAACTTAAGTTTAGATATTCATTATACTTTTAGAGTACTAAATACATATTTGTTAATGTTAATAGCTTCTATTGTTAATATAACCTTTTTAGCATTATGTTAATAATGTACCATGAAGGATTGTCTGCAGTTTGCCTTATTCATTGGAGTGGAGATTTCGTCATTTTCTCCACACTCTAGCTTTTGAATGTAGTGAATGTGTAGTCTTCTGTATTTATCGTTGTGAAATATTGTAACATCGCAGGCTAAAAATATTTCAGTAAGCTAATAGAAATAACCACGTGATTCCTATATCTCCTTATTAGCCTGTGAAGAAAACAAATGATTGGCATTAATCGTTATTGAATGTAAGAGTAAGTAGTATTTCCCTAAAAGATAATAATAATAATAATTCAAAAAGGACAAGAGTTTCTTTATCAATGATACAAGTTTTGTTATGTAATTAGCTAATCCTTTACTTATTTTAATTTCTAACGAAGTCTCTACAGTTATTTTTGGTAGTTTTCATCGCCATTCTATTTCCTCTTCAAGCTCTTCTCTTTACATAGCAGCCATATATCTGTTTCTAGTTGACTATTTCAACTATTTGTATAAATTTCTACAACTTTTATTCGTGTTTCGTGTTTAGTCACACAAGACGTTTCTGATTATGAACTTGATTTTATGTATTACGTTTTTCGGGATCGCTAAAGGTGATCATTTATGAAACTTGCTTTTTTTAAAGATTGTAATTTTTTACATTTTGAAGTTGTGAATTTTGACGAAAACGAAACGAGAGGTCTACCCTATACTTGGATTCATCACTTGTTACTGCGATAGATCGGTTTCGGGAAATTCCACCATTTCAGTTTCTCCGGACAAAGAGTGACCAAAGAAAAGGCCTAGGCCCCATGTAGTGGTGTCCTACAGCCCATGAGTATAGTGTTCGATTTTTTTCCCTCTTTTATTAACAAAATTGGAAATTTTAGCGTAAAAGAAACGTCAATCCCAAACTTATCTCGGACTTGCCACAAGTCATTGGATTATTCTTCTTCTGGGATTTTCTTCTTTCAACAGTAATCCTGGATAGGAGAAAACCAAAAATCAAGACCTAGTATTATGTAGGTTATTTACAATATGTAAAAGACAATTCAAACGCCATATCTAACGTTATGTTCTTGAACATTTCTATCACATTTTCTCACCTTGAGAATTAGTATTGAAAAACAAGTAAAATAATTCATTTTAGAATTATAAGTTTTCTTTGATAAATACTTATGGTTTAAATAGCATATCAAACTTATGTTATTTTTTTCAGAATCTCAAATCTGCTTGATCTCTTCATTTCGAACTTAGTTTTACATTCTCCAAATCATGATTTCTACCGATATCTTTTCTCAAAAGAAATATAAATAAAGTAAAAGTTTTTCTTTAATTTGATAATTCACTGAACAAGAAAATCTGCATTAAAAGTAATAATGTGATTTTTTTTTCTAATACGCATTTCTTTAATAGTTGCTTATTAATAGGTACTAATACTGTTTCCTCAAGAACTTCAATATGGTATAGTTTAGTATAAATTATTCTTTACGTTATTTTATTTAATACTGTTTTGGATAATTGTGTGTTTTAGTAACATTATTGTTAGCCTAAGTTTTGTTAACACCATGAACTATATAACGATGCTTAAAGTTATATATATATATATATATATACATTTAGAATTTTTATATGTATAACGTGAGTGGAAATGTTAAGTGCGAATGTTGTTTGTACCTCAGGTTTTCACTCAATAGTTTCTAGGATTTGGCTAGGAACCAAAGATACTATACTATTAGGTGTGTATTTTTGAGCAGGAGTCTTGAAGCTATGTTTTGTAAGAAAGTCGACTGATAAAAGAGGGCGTCTCGAATAATGGCTTTATCTTTAGTGGAAGTTGTCCTGATGAGGGAGTCCTTGTTAGTAATGCTTGTTGTGCATCGAACTCAAGTTATAAACAATTCGTATTTTCGTAGAGCAACAGGTCATTTCGACCGAGGTGGCTAGGAAGCAGAGTCTGCTGTGTATAATAGCTCACTTCAAAATGTAATTATATGTTTACGGTAGGACGTAAAAAATGGTTGTGTATGTGTGTTGATCTCAGTATATACGCTTACCATTTAGTCATGTGTTATTGGAGAACCACATTCTCCCTTTTACTCTCTTTCTCTAGGCGTATTGTGTATTGTAGTAGTATTTATGATCATATATTGTATAGGCCAAGTATTCTGCACACAAGTTAATTCATACTTGTCCTAGCTGATACAACTTAATGTAATCAACACCCACTCCACTTTTTCGACATTCCACTGATTAATTGATTTGTTAATTAAGATTCTATGCGACTATTAGATAGTACAATGTATCTCCATTAGATTCAGGATCCTTACAACGAACTATTGACAGGTGTCATGTATATTACATTTGGTGAGTGTATGTTTCTAGTGAGCTTGTATTTACATACGTATTGAAATTCTCAGTCAAATAGACTAGAAATCGTTAGTGCATTATTCTATTAATCCTAACAGTCTTGTACATAATTCACGCAACATTATGTATTTAAAATCATCAAAGGTAGAGAAATCCCGTTGTGCTTCGTTCTCTTTTCTTTTGATGATAAATTCAATATAACTGTTGTGTTATGTGTTATGTGTGTGTTTATAAAACATATCCTTTAATTTGTCTATTCTTACAATTAAAGTAGGATCTCGGGCTTGCTTCAGCAAATTATCACACATGACATTCTCTATTTTCCAGTAATTATCAGGCGTCGGGTCAAGGGTCAAAATTGTTTTCATAAAAAACTCTAAGCAGTAGCTTCATTTTGCTGTGAATGTGTTATTATTCAACAAATACGATTCAAGTTTCGAAGTCTTCATGGTGGTTCAGCACATGATGATGGTAATAACTATATTATAACAGTCATGTTAGCATATGATAATAGTAATAATTATATTATAACCTATTGTGTAGCTTTGTGCTTAATTACAAACAAACAAAATAAATAATAATAATACTTATAATATATTATAACAGTCATGTTAGCACATGATGATGGTAATAACTATACTATAACCTATTGTGTAGCTTTGTTCTTAATTACAAACAAACAAAATAAATAATAATAATACTTATAATATATTATAACAGTCATGTTAGCACATGATGATGGTAATAACTATATAATAACAGTCATGTTAGCACATGATGATGGTAATAATTATATTATAACCTATTGTGTAGCTTCGTACTTAATTACAAACAAACAAAATAAATAATAATAATACTCACATTTATGTACAGGACAAAAATAATGTTTTTTTTAAATTCAGGAATTTCTTTTCTTTTCCAGTGTATACTGAGTTTTGTAGGGCAACTTCCACTCTTCAGTTGGCATGTACACACGTTGAAAACAGACAAATAACCTTTAAAAGTCAGAGTCACAATTGGCTTTTATACGTGTAGAAAAGGGACAAATAGCCTTCAAAAAGCACTCTTCAGTGACGAACTCAGATTAACCGTTGGCATGTATACGTGTAGAAAAACGACCAATAAGCTTAACTAAACACTCTTCAGTAACGAACTCAGATTAACCGTTGGCATGTATACGTGTAGAAAAATGAGAAATGAACTTAAAAAACACTTTTTAGTGATGAAATCCGACTCGGTATTGGTGTGAACAAGTGTAAAAAAGGAAAAAAATAACTTTAAAAATACTCTTCAGTGACAAAGAGAGATTCACAATTAGCATGTGCATGCGTAGAAACAACAAATAGACGTAAAAAAGCACTTTTAAGTACGAAATAAGACTCATAGTTAGCATGTACATGTGTAAAAAGGGCATATAACATTAAAAAACTTTTCAGAACCTTATGAATGGTCCATGAAATCAATTATATATAAAAATGAGATTCGAGATGTAACGTAGCAGAATATGCTCCGCACTTTAGCTGTGGCGCGTTTAAAAAGTTTGGAAAAATACAATCTTATTGTTTGGTTCAGAAATACATATAAAACCCCTGGGGCGATAGGTGCTGCTAGCTCGCAGCCGGTAGTTGAAAATAATGGACGGCTATAGTTGATTCCTAGGGGTCTTTGACCTAACCGTTTAGCTCACGTGCGCATAAAGATCAGGTTGAGAATTCCAACCCCCCCCTCCCAAAAAAAAAGATGTTATATCTTGTAAAATCCTTCCATTAAAAATGCATAATACATGAACTCTCCAAACACTGAAACAGAATTCATATTTACAACTTATATCCGTTTTATTCGTAATTAAGATTTGTGGGGGGGGCAATCAAAATGTAGAGCGAGACATTGAAACAATTTAAGAATAAGAATTCCTGTAAAACAATGCTTATAATAAGCAGGTACACAATAATCAAAACGTTTCATGTTTGTCATACATTATTTCAATCAGGACTAATAACGACTCGCTATTCTCTATTCAATTACTCTGAAGATATCCAGATTGATGATAAACAGTATTATATGCACGGTTTAAGAAGGCTTAAATTAGCAGTTATTTTCATTAAACGGTTAACACAGTTATTTAGGTTAAAATTCAAATAGTTTAAAAATAAAATATTATTTTCGTTTTACTAGAAATAAATGCTACAAGTGTTATGCTCATTTTGTCCAACACGAATATATGAAAAATATAATTCTATTTTTGTTGTGCATGAATGTTTCTAGGATTATACAAATCGTACTGAACATTAAATAAGTTACTTAAATGATTTAAACACACAAAAAGAAAGATTAAGAAACATGCTCTTTCTTACAACAGAACACACTTGAACTGCTCAAACAAGGTATTACTCTGAAACAGCAGAACATTTTTGTACTGTTAAAGACATGGTGTTATTACACCGCTAAAACACAGTATTACATGGAACTATAGAACAATTGTGTAGCTAAAAACACGGTATTATTCTGAAACAGCAGAACATTTTTGTACTGTTAGAGACAGGGTGTTATTACACCGCTAAAACACAGTATTACATGGAACTATAGAACAATTGTGTAGCTAAAAACACGGTATTACTCTGAAACAGCAGAACATTTTTGTACTGTTAGAGACATGGTGTTATTATACCGCTAAAACAGTATTAGATGGAACTATAGAATAACTGCACTGCTAAAAACACAGTATTACTTGGAAACAGTCGGACATTTATGAGTTGCTAGAAACAATATCATATTGTACTGCTAAAACATAGTATTTCATGGAACGATGGAACAATGGCATTGCTAAAACATTATTTCATGGAACGATGGAACAATGACATTGCTAAAACATTATTTCATGGAACGATGGAACAATGGCATTGCTAAAACATTATTTCATGGAACGATAAAGCAATTGTACAACCAAAAATCACAATATTACCTAGAAAAAGTAGAATATTATTGAACTGCTAGAAACATTGTATTATTATGCTGCTAGAACACAATATTACATGGAACTTTAAAATAATTGTGCAGCCAAGACAATGGTATTACACGGAAACAGCAGAACATCCCTATACTGCTAAAACACAGGATTATTTAGGAATGACAGAGCATTCTTGTAGTCATAAAATCACGGTATTACATAGAAATGCCACAATATACTTGTATTTCTAAAACACGGTTTTACATGGAAAGTATGTCCTTCATGAATCGGTTAACAAATTCGAATAAACAGAAACGTAACGAACGTATAAAGAAACTTACTTTTCTCGGTGTCAATGTGAACTAAAGTAAGAAGTGTGAAGATTAAATGTTGATGTGTTTAACGAGATATCAAAAATTTGTGGGTTTTTATTTTCTCCTGAGCCTAACAGAGAAGGTGTAAGATTAACTTGACAGTCGTATTTAAGATATAACCCTTAAAGTGTGTTAATTTCTCAACCTGTGAACTCGATCATCTGACTTTATCGACCAATACACTCGCGCTGTGTTAATACAAACAAAATAAGTTAATTAGATAATTTTTCAAAGCTTAACTCTTTAAACGTTTAATGTATTCAGGATATTAAGACGTGATCAACAGTAAGATGTTGGAATTTTCACTATTTCCAAAGAAACGGTACTAGTTACAGCGTATCAAAATTACTGGTTATACTTGACTAACCATGCAGGAACCATAGTCATTATGACCCAAACTCGGTTACTATTGATTATCACTATATACCGTGCTGGTTAAATGTATTCGAACACTATAGTTTACGTTCAGCCAATCAGACTAAAAGAATGATGTGAATATAGATAATCACAAACTGTGGCGTTAAAAACAGGAAATATCAAAGACCAGAGGAAACTTTGTAGTTTGTATTCTTATTTCATCTATTCTTCATATATTCTTCTCTTCGTCACTGTGGCTCTTGCTTCTCCATAATACGTTTATTTTTCTTCTCTATATAAATAAATAATATTCCGTAATCCTTTTGGGAACGTGATAAAACTAAATCGTATAATAAAAATCTCACTTTTATGTAATATAGAAAAATAAACAAATTATTGGGTGTCTTAAACATATGTTTTGGTAGACATCGTGCATAAAACATAACAGTTATATTGAATTATTTGTATGTAAACTGTCCAACTATACGTTCCCCCTTGTATTACTTAAATATTAGCAGAGACTCGCAAAACACTTTCGGTCAAATTAGTATCTTTATTGCAACAGTACTTCTAAAAACTTTGATAAATGTTTAATATGTTGTTGTACAAAATGTCTACTAAAGTATATTTACTTCCGACATTTGTTTACATCCGTTGAAATTTATTGCGCGCGCATGCTTATTTAGATAGTAAGTTGTGCGCGCATTTTCACGACAAACAAAAACTGGGTATTATTACAATAGATGTTTATAAGGAAGCATAACCTTATTTCTAAACCTCCTTACTTCTGGGGGTCATTAAATAATAACCTGTTTTATCACATGACAGTTACTGTTACAAGTATTTTCTCAACTGTAAATCCTGAATGCGATCTCAGTGTAGAACTTTTTGCACAATGCTACGTGTATGTGCAAGAAACTGTTTGATTTCCCCCCTTTTTAACAACATTTTTCTATCCTACTAGCAACACGGATTGTAATTTTAGACATCATTATTTGTGAATCTTTCTTTTCTTCGTTGAAATACGTCACTTCAGTGAAGAATACATGAATGACGTAGAGGCCTAATCTATTTTTTGTTTCGATACTCACTCTGCAGTAGGCTAGTTTCGCCGAATTTACGGCTCACCGGTACCGGAAGCAAGGAAACAAAGAAAAGATTTTGTCTCTATGTCATTCATGGATTTTTCACAGCAGTGAGGAAAGGAGAAATTCACAATTAATTTATCAGCTATTCCGTGCAACAATTACGTAATTGTGACAGGGCAGTCACGTGTTATTCAAATACCTAAAGTACTTTAGGTTATTAGTTATGAGTAAAGGACTTCGTATCAAACCCTACAAGTTACTTCGTGTTATTCAATTGATCTAATTGTTTGTATTCTGCACGACATTAGATTATATATTTACCAATAAAGTTTAATTTCCAGTTAAAGGCTTGTTTGAGATCCCTTTATTTTGGATATGCAGACAAGTCAAAGCGCACTCGAGTACCTTAAAACAGTCGCAAAGCTTGAATATTTAACTTTTTGGAATAGTGAATTATCATCGTCTTCGTATTAAACATATATGTATAGCTGACGTTGTGAGTTCATTTCGTTCTTGAACGTTCAAAGTCAAAAGTTCAGTGTGCGCATGCTCGTTATGGTCACTTCATCTGTCTAATGTTTGTTTTTCATTAATGTAAAGCGACAATTGTCAGTAAAGTTTGGTTTAACAATTATGGTTTAATCCCTTCTTGTAGTATTGTAGTATTCTTTAGGTCATTACGATTACTATTTATTCTTAATACTGTATTTGTATGAATTTGCAAAAACCCTCTTTTCCTCCTTCTTGTGATGGCATAAGTAAATCCATGCTGTCTGTAGTTTATTGTGCCATATTGGACGTCAAACTTAAATATGTCTTAGGTGAAAAACTACACGTTTACCTTCTAATACTGTGTTATTTAATGCTGTAATTTATTATCAGCGATGTACATGAAGAAAGCTATGTCGAAAACTGAATAGCCTTCGACCGCCTTTTTCACTGTTGATCACAGAACTCAAAACATGCGAATTTTGTACTGGTATGAATTGACATCCAATATTGAGGAGATGATTGCAGCAGAAATTTGTGTGACGTCACGTACAGGAACTCTATATGTAACTTAGTTCAGAACAGTAATCATATTTCCGTGTTTGCTATCATATTGTACATAAAGTTAATGCATGGCACGTTATAGTAGTGTTCCCGCAGAATCACGTATCTGAAAGCATGTATAGATATGAATATTTATTTGTATATGCTTAGAAATAGGATAAACGTCTGCAGGCTTTAACAGAACTCTTTCCAAAAACCAACGAACTCTTTGACGTTAATGATGACACTATACTGTTTACGAAAGTTGTTTCGTGATTTTGTAATAGTAGTGACAGTGTTTTGATTTTGTAATAGTAGTGGAAATTTTCTGTTTTAGAAATTAGAAAATGCTGCGTTGTTGTCGTAACATACCTAGATCTTTTTAATACACGTGTTTTGATATTGCTAACCGAAGTTAATGTCAAATATCATACTTTTCTACTCTATTAAACAGTTACTAATAGCTCATAACTTTATCAAAAGTATCTATTTATTCGCTAAACAGAATAGAGTATCACTTAGAAAAGAAAATGATATTTGTTGTTAATTGGAGCAAACAATAATCATGTGTTTACGTTTATTTCATAGTTGTGGTGACTTTATTTCGAATACTGTGCATACTAAATTTTTCGTGAACTTTTTCAAATCGTTTGAATTATTCTTATTCTATTTTTAACATATTTTTTTGATTGTTTTCAAACCAGCAAAGAATAAAGTTTAACGGCAACATAGTACGTATATAACGTAGGACTTATTTGATATTTCTTTAGAATGCGAATTCAAATCTCTTTCATTTATATTTTACGCACGTTTTGTTTTTGCAGACGTTTTCACGGTCCCCCAGTGGGTTAATTTACGGATTTACGGCGATAAAATCTGGGGCTCAATTCCCCACGGTGGACATAATAGTCCATTATGTAGCTTTTTGATGAAATAACATCGTTTTCACGAGAAAAGAGTTTTTACATTTTATCAAGTAACTTTATTCGAAACATTAACATGGATGTGTAGGCTAATTTTGATGTTAACAGCGTTTTTTAAATCGTCTATTAATTTCTTCTAACTTAAGATAAAATATTAAATTAACCATTTTTGATTAATTGGTTTACTCATATATCTTATAGCATTTAATTAATAAAAGTAATCCGCCATTTAAACCACCATTATTTATCATTGCCAAAACAATGATAATTTGCTACATGCTTCGGTCGGCCATATTTTTACGAGCTATTATCTTATTAACATTTCTAGCTGCTTGGATCCATTACATGTTTGAATTTTTTTACAAATGTTAGAATATAAACAAACAAGTTTCAATATCTGCAAATTAAGAGTTTAGAATTTCATCTAGGTTTTAATTCTAGATTAGTAAACAATTTTTTTATGGATTTATCTAACTCATCCAATACTATATTTATTAATAAGATATAAAAACATATTTGAAAATTATTTGAATTATAGGTGCAGTTGATAGAAATTGAATAATGTTGAATTTGGCATTATATAATAAGATAGTGAGTGATCTTTTTAAAAATATTAAACGTAGAAAATATATTATATAAACTTAGAAGTTTTGTAAAATTATGAAGAGTAAATCGGAAGCTTAGAAAATACTGAAAATAAATTAAATGTTTTGCTCTGGCCAGAAAATTGAACGGTTCAAAATATGAACATTCGTTTCATGTAAGTGTCCTTGTTTTTTTTACTTTTAACATAACTATGAAAAGTGTTTTAATAGAAACATATTTCTTATACGAAAATGATTAAAAATGAAGTTAACTCAAATCACTTTTTTTTAAAAAAGCATTTTCCAGGAAGGTGTGTGCATTAAGTAAATTATTTTATTTATTTGTTCGCAGATTAATGCGAAAGCTTTTTTCCCATGATTGATCAGTTCCCTTTCAAAGCCAAACCTCCAAGTCTTTTATAACTCGTCCCCCAGTGGGTCAGCGGTAAGTTAGCTGACTTACAACGCTAAAATCCTAAATTCGATTCATTGTTTTGGACAGCCTATTGTGTAGCTTTGTGCTAAAACAAACAAATAAGCTTTTATAACTTACTTCTGTATTACGAAAGTTAATTACAAATCTACACAATGTTCTTCAACAGAGGTTTTGTTTGGAAACGGGTTTTTCAGAAGTTTTGCCATTGTTTTGGACAGCCTATTGTGTAGCTTTGTGCTAAAACATACAGAACAAACAAATAAGCTTTTATAACTTACTTCTATATTACGAAAGTTAATTACAAATCTACACAATGTTCTTCAACAGAGGTTTTGTTTGGAAACTGGTTTTTCAGAAGTTTAGCCATTGTAAAAGGTAACAAGTAAACTTAGGTGGTGAATGTTTCTGTACTTAAAGTTTTTTTCTCATTATAGCTCAGAAGAAAAAATGTCGATCTGCTTATCTTTCGCTCTTTGGTTTTGTGTTAATAACTTCTGATGGATTATTGTCTTATATAAGGTTTTGTAGTGTTAAAATAACCTATAGGCACCACAATAATGTTTTATTAACAGCCCAAGTTGTAAAGTTAACGTTTCCTCTAGATGTTTAAGTGTTTGTTGGTTACGGAACCTTTTCCTTCTTGCTGTACGTCGAAGAAACGATAGCCCATTGTTTAGGTGCTTATTGAACAGTTCGGTGCATTCCCATGTAAACTATCTTCAAATAAAAGGCCTCAACAGGACACTGGTTTTTATTTATTGCCTAAAAGTCAAACGACAAACACAATACATTTGGTTTATTCTTGTCCCACATTTAATTCATAACAGTTAATTATATATTGAATTTAGCCTGGATGCTAAGGTGAGCTAAAATTTAATTTAAATTCACTAAGGATAATATATATGTGTGTATTTTCAAGTATTATGGTTTACATAACATCTATATAAAACTAAAAGTTTATATCGTTTATACCCACATTTTCTGAATAGCGAAAAACTTCAAAATGAAATGTAATCTGGAAGTCTAAACTAAAACACGAAATAGAATAAAAAGTCAAATAAAGTAAACTTTACAATAGAAAGCTATCACCGATAAACAAAGAAAAAAGATCATTTGTGAAACTGATATTGAGAAAGACTGCTTATGTTTCTATTGGCTATAAGTAATAGCGTTTTACAAGCTGTAGCAAGCTTAACTGAACAGGAACGAGTAAACATATGAAAGTGTGTGAAAATCGGATTTCCACTGGACTAACCCACCACTACTAGACACTTAAATAAACAGACTTTCCTTCCCTTGAGCTACCTGTCGGTCTTCGGGATGTTCACTGTTCCCTGATCTTCTTCCAGCATTTTTCACTTTCGGAGTTATTTCATGTTTCCTTCTTGCATAATTATTTTATTCAAAGTGTGCCCTCAATAATTTATAACACAATGACCACAATTGTAAAAGGTAATTTTCGTTCTTATTTTCTTAAATACATTTTCATTATTTTTTTTTTCACTAAAACAGTCAGTTGGTAATTTTTACAGAAATAATTGTTTACATTAAAATAACATTATTATTTTACAAACACTACGAAGGCAGCTGTCATGGCTACTTATACAAATAAAAATATAAGCACTTTATTTATGGAGCAAACATAAAATAACTATTATATATTAGGTACGTTTAAATAGTTTTCTATTTTAATAATAAATATAGTTTTCAGTTTTTTTATCTGACGAAGTCGTCTCCTAAAGCAACCTACAATAGGAATATTTGATCACAAAAAAATCTTATTTTTTTGTTATAAAGATTAGCAGAAGTTATACATCTTATAATCCGAAAAAAAAAGTCATTAAACTCAATGTCAAGTTTCGTCCTTGGAATGTTATTTCAACAATTTTCCTTGTTTTCAAAAGTGACATTATGTCATACAAAATTCCGATTGTCACACGGAGACCACCAGACAGCCTTGTGCTTCACAAAATATGTTTCTGACTATTAGCAATCGATGTGTTCGAAGGAAAACGAAGTTTGATTATAAACAAGATTACGACACTTATGATAAACAACATTGTTTATTGACAATAAGGGGACATGGATAAACGTTTCGGAATTCTATCAGAGTGTTGGAGAGTTGCAGCACTCTCCAACTCTGAACAACATGCAGTCTTCATTTAAATTATAAATTTTTTAATATGTTCGTATTACTGATTTTTCGTTTTTTTCGAGAAACTACAGCAAGAAAACACAACCCCATGATTACTGTTTAGTGTTTTATTTGTTTAATTATCGTTATATTTAGCAACTGTACTTTGAAAATGTATAAAGACTGATGTAAATTCATTTCATTCTGCTTTAGATACTGAGGATGGAATCTGATAGAATTCCGAAACGTTTATCCATGTCCCCTTTTTGTCAGTAAACAATGTTGTATATCGTAAGCGTCGTAATCTTGTTTATAACTATGTTATAACAGAATAAAATAAAATAAAATAAAAATAGACACATCAATTTGTACCGGGAAATAAAGTTCTATCTTCATTATAACAGCGATGCTTTATCAAAATTTAAACGTAAGAACTATAATAACCTTTTTTCAATGTTTTTCATGCGTTTAGTTTGTGTTGAAACTTTTTTTTTTCATTG